CATCGACAATGACATCATGCTGATTAAACTGAACGCCCCCGCTACCATCAGCTCTCGAGTGTCCACCATCTCCCTGCCAAGGTCTTGCGCTGCTGCTGGCACCCAGTGTCTCATCTCTGGCTGGGGAAACACCATGAGCAATGGCTGTAAGTCTCCCTGGAATGAGCATGAGTGTTGGTCAGTCCAAGTTACCACTCAACACAAGGTTCCCACGGGACAAATTGAGGGCCTATGGAGTCTTTGAATATATTGATGAAACTGAACCAGGTCCCTTGACTGGGAGCATACAGAAGACACATGACAAAGATGTTAAGATTTCAACTGAGGGATGACTAGTGATGTGAGAAGGTAGTGATTGGTAGAAAGTATAACAGAAGGTAAGGGATTTGGTCCTGCCTTCCGTGTAAACATGTTTGAGAATAAAATCTCTAGAATGGCAGCCTGTGCTCACTAAGGATCTTGTCAGAACAACTTGCTGGCTAGAACATTCCAGAACATCACTATTCTCCTGAAGTAGAAGTCACTGACAATCTGAGAGAAAGAATGGGGAAAGAGAGGGAGTAGGTTGAGAAAGAAATTCCAGGAATCCTGTGACTAATCTCCTCCTGTTTTCACTCTTGCACCCCACAGACAACTACCCTGAGCTGCTGCAGTGTCTGACTGCCCCAATCCTCACAGACAGTGTCTGCCGCAATGCCTACCCAGGCCAGATCACCGACAACATGATCTGCCTGGGCTACCTGGAGGGTGGCAAAGACTCTTGCCAGGTTTGTTTCTCAGCCTTCCTTCTTCCCACAGTTCATCCTTACCCTGTTCCATCATACTTACTTTTCCTGGAACACGGAGGATTGATTCTGGGAACCATTTATGGGAAGAACAGCTTAGGGATACATTTCAGGTTTTCTCCTTTGTTCGTGCTAAAGATACACAGGAGTGCATTGTGGGATGGAACCCTTGTGGAAAGAGCAGAGATCACTGGGGGACATTAAATCTCCCTAGGCCTCACTTTTTAAAAGCCCACAGACTTGTAACTAGAGATGGAGCTAGAAGCAGGAGGGAGGAGGGATGGGGTAACATAGGGAGATTGAGTGTTGAATTTCCAGGAGTTGAGAAGGGATTTCTTTATGGAGGATGACAACCTGGGAAGATAGCCCCAGAGTAGCAGAGCACTGACGCGAGCCATCTTCCATCTGGGTCCAACTCAGAGTGCTGACTGTCTCTTCCCTCTTGTCCAGGGTGACTCTGGTGGCCCCGTGGTCTGCAATGGAGAGCTCCAGGGCATCGTCTCTTGGGGCTATGGCTGTGCTATGAAGGGCAAACCTGGTGTCTACACCAAGGTCTGCAACTACGTGAGCTGGATCCAGCAGACCATGGCTTCCAACTAGAATCTCCTTGAGCCCACCTGTACCTCTCCATGACCCAGTCCTGTTAGCCAACCTTCCTCCCATGCCTGAAAACCGTATCTAAATAAAACAGTCCATCCTAATCACACATCTGTCTGCAATGTCTTTGCTTGAGATCATGAATGTTCCCTCATGATGGCTGAGAACTGAGAGGATGCACATAGAAATAAAAACATTGAATTTGAAGATGATTTCATCATTCATTCAATCAAATCGATATAAATTTACTAATCACCACCAATCACCTATTGTCTTAGTTGTGGAGTGCTGGTAGAACAGAAATCCCACCAGAGGGCAACGTTAACAAACAGAAGTTATTTTCTCACAGTTTCATCTGTAGGGAAAGGCTCTCTCCCTCTCTCTCATCTCCGGGAGATTCTTGTCTCTTTTCAGCTTTCTATTCTGGAATCCTTGGTGATCTCCTTGTGGCACCCATCTCCCCCAATTCTGATATTTTAATCTGCTTCTTCTGTATCTTGAAAGAGAGTGGCAGAAGACAAGCTCTATAGCCTCATTAACATAATGAAGACACACTCCCTTGTCTCATTAACAACATAACATCTCGTTAACATAACACAGTGCATTATCTAATGGGGCTCCTGGTGTGCTGCTTTAGGCTCAGGACTGGACTGAGAATCAAAAGGTTGGCAAGGAGCTCTGGTAGCTGCTGGTGGTGGTGACTGTGTGCTTTGGAGTTGGTTCCGACTCATAGTGACCCTGTACAGGGTTTTTGAGGCTATAAATCTTTACAGGCACAGAATAACTCATCTTCTCCTGCAGAGCGGCTGGTAATTTCGAACTGCTGACCTTGTGGTTCGCAGCCTGATTCGTAACCACTATGAATTGGGCTGCTAATCTCAAGCTTGGAAGTTCGAAACTACCAGCCATTCCATGGGAGAAAGATGAGACTTTCTGCTCCTGTAAAGACTTACAGACCAACATCGGGCAGTGTTTTGCTTTGCTGTGCATAAGGTCACTATGAGTAGGTACCGACTGGATGGCACCTATCAACAACAACAACAATGATAGAATAGATTTGTAGTGTCACCATGAGTTGGTACTTAACAACCTCAAGGAGTCAGAACCAACTCAATGGTACTTAACAACAGCATTGCCTAATTAACATAACAAAAACCATTCCCTGCTAGGATTATTACAATAAGTAAGCTGCTGTTATGTGCAGATGAGTGATGCTGACTCATAGCAACCCTATATATAATAAAAGGAAACACTGTTTGGTCCTTCTCCGTCTTCACAATCATTGCAGCTTTGGAGCTCATTGTTGAAACTACTGTCAGTCTAATTCATTGAGGGTCTTCCTCTTTTTGCTGGCCATCTGTTTTATCAAGCATGGTGTCCATCTCTAGGAGCTGGTCCCTCTTGATAAAATGTCCAATGTATACAAGATGAAATCTCACCTTCCTTGTTCTGAGAAATATTTTTGTGCTACTGCCTTAGGGCAGACATGCTTCTGACAGCTTAAACATTTAACAATGATGATGCTACTGCTTAGTGGTCCAGTTGTGAGGATTGTTGTTTTCTTTATATTGAGATATAATCAATGGCACATAACAACAACAACAACAACAATCCTTATTGAAGGTTGTAATCGTTGATCTTCATCAGTAAGTGCTTCAAAACCTCTCTGTTTTCAACAAGAAAAGCTGTGTCTTCTACATATCTCATGTTGCTGATGTCTTCCTCTAACTCTGGTGCTGTGTTCTTCTTCATATGGTCAGTTTCTTGGATTGTTTGCTCAGCATATAGATTGAATAAATATGTTAAACAGGATACCACCACGATCCATACTTTTTATTTTGTTCTGTTCCGAATGGCTGCCTCTTTGCCTATGTACAGGGAGCACAATTAATTGTTTTGGAATTTCCATTTTTTCCCAATGTTATCCATAACTTATTACAATCCATAAAGTTGAATGCATTTGCATAGTAAAGAAAATGCATACCAACATGTTTCTTGTATTCTCTGTTTTAGCCAAAATTCACCTAAATCCTACTTAAATTTCTAGTAGTTCTCTGTCCATGTACTGTTACAACCATTTTTGAATTATCTGTAGCAAAATTTTACTTTGTGTGATATTAACAAAACTTTTTGATAATTCCACATTTTATTGGATTATCTTTCTTTGAAATGGGCACAAATATGGATCTCTTCTAGTCAGGTGGCCAGGTAGCTGCCTTCTAAATTTCTTGGCATAGATGGATGATGCAAATCTCCAACATTACACCCGTTTCTTCAAACATTTGCAAATATCTTTTCAATAACATAACTGGTAATGATACACATGACCCTCACTGTAGGAAATATAGAGCAATAAAATCAACTACGTTTGTGCAAAGAGATGATAGAGAAACCCAATATCATCAGTCAGAACACAGGACAACTGCAGAGCAAATCATCAATTGCTCATATACAAGTTCAAGCTGAAGCAGAAGAAAATTTGTATTTCATCAATTCTTGGAACCTTATCTTTCAATAATACCTTAAGTGCAACTTGAACTTCTTTCTTCAATACCATGAGTTCTAGATCATTTACTACATCCTAGAATGAATGAACATTGGCTAATTCTTACTGGTACAGTGACTCTGCATTAATTCCATTACCTTTTTATGCTTCATGGGATTTTCATTGTTTTTGTTATAGAATCCTTCCATGTCACAATTTGAATTTTTAATTTCCTCAGATTCTGTTAGCTTGAGAAATGCTGAACACATTCTTTCCTTTGAATTTTAATTCCAGGTATTTTTTTTTTTCACTTAATTATAATGTCTGTCTTTGTTTTCTCTAGTCACCCTTTGAAATCTTCTGTTCAGTTCTTTTAATCATTTCTTCCTTTCACACTAGCTAGTCTGCTTTCAAGAGCAAGTTTCAGAGTCTCTTCTGACATTCACTTTGGTCTTTTCTTTCTTTCCAGTATTTTAAATAATATTTTTATTTCATCATGTATATTTTTTATTCCATCACATAACCCATCCAATCTTCAGTAATTACCATTCAATGCATCAAATCTATTCTTGAAATTGTCTCTAAATTCAGTGGGATATAGTGAAGGTTGTATTTTGGCTCTCATGGACTTGTTTTAATGTTCTTCAGCATCAGCTTGAACTTGTATATACACAATTGATGGTCTGCTTTTCAGTCACCCTGTGTTCTGACAGATGATAGAGTTTTTCCATCATTTCTTTCCACAAATGTAGTTGATTTGATCCCATATATTCCACATGGCAACATAAAACAAAACAGCCACCACTCGTCTGTCTGTCGTGCTGTGGTGGCTTGAGTTGCTGTGATTCTGAGGGCTATGCATCGGTATTTTAAATAACCTGCAGGGTCACCCAAGGTGGACAGGTTTCAGATGAGCTTCCAGACAAAGACCGACTAAGAAGAAAGAGTGACAAACTACTTCCGAATCGCTAGTCACTGAAAACTCTATGAATAACAGAGAAACATTGTCAGATACAGGACCAGAAGGTGGGAAGGCACTCAGAATGCGACTGGGGAAAAAAATGCCTCCTCAAAGTAGAGTTGACCACGATGACATGAATAGAGTTAAGCTCAGGGGAAAAAAGTGCACAGAACCTTCATTTGCTGATGGACCACAATTCAAGATGAAGAGAAACAGCTGTAAACATCCACTGAAAATCGGAACATGGAATGTATGAAGTATGAATCTGGGAAAATTAGAAGTTGTCAAAAATGAAATGGAACACATCAACATCGACATCTTAGGCATTAGTGAGCTGAAATGGACTGGTATTGGCCATTTTGAATCTGATAACCACATGGTTTACTATGCAAGGAATGACAAATTGAAAAAGAATGGTGTTGCATTCATCGTCAAAAAGAACATATCCAGATCAGTAATGAGGTACAATGCTGTAAGTGATAGGATACTATCAATGTGCCTACAGGGAAGCCCAGTTCATACCACTATTATTCAAATTTATGCACCAACCACTAAAGCCAGTGAAGATGAAATAGAAGAATTCTACCAACTTCTTCA